GGGGGCCCCCTAGGGGGGCCCCCAAAGATGAGGGGGCCCCCATGGTATATCGATTGCGCTGTTGGGTATCCAAAGAAGAAGCAAATGCTGCAGCAGAAAAGGCACGAGAGGGGCCCCCTGAATAGCCAAGGCGATATGAGGGGGGGGCCCCCATCCTCCTGCTGCTGCTGCTGCTGCTGCTGCTGTTGCTGTTGCTGCTGCTGTTGCTGGGTTTTGTTCTGCTGCCGCCAAGGTGCAGCAAAGACTCTTGCATGCAGCCCAGCGACACAGCAGGGGCCCCCCGCTCCCGCTGCTGCTGCAGCAGCCGCTGCTGCTGCTGCTGCTGCTGCTGCTGCTGCTGCTGCCTGCTGCAGCCAGCAGCAGCATTTACTTTATTTATGTGGGGGGCCCCCCCCCTCTCTAGAGAAGGAGACAAAGAAGAAGAGGCGCCATCGAGGAGACAGCTGCCCCACACTCCCTCTGCTGCTGTTGCAGCTGCTGCTGCTGCTGCTGCTGCAGCTGCTGCATCTGTCTCCTCTCTCCCTCTGGATACACTTGAGGCAGCAGCAGCAGCAGCAGATGCTGCTGCTGCTGCTGCTGCTGCTGCTCCCGGACCAGCCAATCCAGCAGCAGATGCTGCTGCTCCTCCTGCTCCTGCTGCACCACCAGCAGCAGCAGGAGCAGCAGCAGGAGCAGCAGCAGCAGCAGCAGAACCATCGGGGGAGGAAGGAGGTGCTGCTGCAGCATGGGGGGCCCTAGATATGAGGGGCCCCTCTGCTAGTACCCTGCTGAGGGAGCGCAGCAGCAACGCGCTGGGGGCCCCCAGATAAGTAAGAAAGAAGGCCCTTTGTCCTTTCTGCTGCAGCAGCTGCTGCTGCAGTTGCTGCTGCAGCAGCAGCAACTGCTGCTGGTGATTATGCCGCTGCAGCAGGCCCTGACCGAGAACAGCAGCAGGTCGATACAACGACGATGAAAATACAGAAACCCTTTTGCTGCTGCTGCTGCTGCTGCTGCTGCTCTTGTTGCTGCTGCTGTTGTTGTTGCTGCTGCAGCTGCTGCAGCTGCTGCTGCTGCTGCCTGCTGCAGCGCATGCATTCTCTCCACTGCTGCAGACACAAAGGGCCCCCTGCTGCTTTACTGCGTCTCCGTGCTGCATCACCTGCTGCTTGGGGGGCCCCCCTGGGGGCCCCCCTGGGGGCCCCCCCGGGGGCCCCCTAGAGGACCAGAAGGCCCCGGGGGGGGCCCCCCGGGG